GGAGGCCCACCCTGCCCCTAGCTGAGGAGCTGTTGGCAGCTGATGGCTGCTAGAGGAGGGAGAGTCACTTTTCTTTGGGCATGTGGCCACTGGTTGGTTGTCCCTGCTCCAGTGGATGGCCCCATAACTAGGTGCATATACGCAGCACTAACTAGACTCAGTGGAATATTAAAAAGAAGAAACAGCCATGAAATTGGGGACATTGTGTAGGGGGCTTTTGGAACAACTGGAATGGTGAAACAGGGGATGGATATCATCAAAATTAATTGTATGGATGTATGGATGTATGGAATTCTCAAAGGCCAAAAAATTATGTGTGTAGATGGGGGGGGTGGGGGAGAGAGAGAGAGAGAGAGAGAGAGAGAGAGAGAGAGAGAGAGAGAGAGGGAGAGAATATGAAACAGCTGTGGAGAGAGAGAGAAATTTCTCCCAGTCAGGCACAGTTATAGTCGGCTGTGGTCCCAGCTACTCCAGAGGCTGAGGTAGAAGGATGACTTGAGCCCAAGAGCTTCAGGCCAACCTAAGCTACAGAGTCCCCTGGTGACTCTCTCTATTTAAGAAGAAAGAGGAATTGGAGGAGACTGAGAAGGCGTCGTCGAGGAAAAAGCAAAAGAATAGAATGAATGAAAAGAAGTGATCCAGATTTTGCAGAGAAGCCTGACATAAGACTGTAACAAGTTAATGGTTAAGTTGGGCCTGGTGGTGCAGGCTTGTAATCCCTGCAATTGGAGATGGGAGCAGGAGTATCAGGAGTTCGAGGCCAGCCTGAGCTACTTAAGACCCTGTCGCCAAAAAAGTTTTGAGTCCAATGAGTAGTGGAGCCCTTTCTCTCAGGAGCGTCCTGATCATGCCCAGTAACTGCCTGGGGCTCCAGATGGGTCATCACAGAGCCTCCATCCAGGAACTCCATCTGCATCAGCTCCAGCAAAATTGAGTTCCCTTAGGAAATGGCACCTGAGTGGGATATCCAACTGTACCAAATTTTCAAGAATCTGCAGCAAGCCTAAAAGCAGCCAAGATGCTGAAAAGCATGGCACAAAGAACTGTAACTTATTTTTATTGCGAAACGTGGCTAGTAAGTTTTGTAACTTTTTTTTAATGATAACATGTCTCTCCCATCTGGCCACCTCTACCTGACACACCTGACTCCTTCTGGTAGGGCAGGCTCTGTCCCCTCAAATGGACACCCAGATAGGCTGTCTATCTAGGATTCTAACGACCTCTGGGGCCAGCACCCCAAGCGGTTAGGCGGACCTGCTTCCATTTCCACAGGCCCAGTGCCCTAGTTAAATTCTGCTCATTTTCTTTCCTCTAGCAAGGCCAGAGGGCTTTCCAAGTGAAAGTACACTAGCTTCCCAGGCTACTGCTCAGAGGCAAGACCCACACCCCAGGTCCTCTTCACCTGCGCATCACCCCCCACCTAAAAACAAAGAGCTCCCTCAAGGTCCCACCTAAACCCCAGCCAGCCTATGGTGAGACTCCCCCCCCCCCCCTCCCCCACGTCTCCGGCACCGCAGCCGCAGTCCTGTCACCACGGAGCTTGCCAGCAGCTGCAGTCACCTGCGGTGGCTTGGAGGCAGCAGATATCATTTGCCCCAGCACGCTTCCTCCTGGCGTTCCGTGTCAGGTAGAAAATGCACCTTCTATTTTAATCAAGGTGTAAAACCCACCCCACCTTCAGCTACTCGGAAACCCAGGGAGAAGACGAAGTCCCCAGGGAGGAGCCTGGGCGGAGGGAGGCCTCCACTGCGGCGAGGAGGCGGAAGGTGAGGCCGAGGCGGCGGCGGCGGCGGCGCCAGGTGCGATCCGCAGCCCCTCCGCCCTCCCAGGCCGAAAGCTCCCTCCGCCCCGCCCGCGCCGCCGGGTCCTAGCGCCGACGCCGCGGCCTGCGGGCGGAGCCGGGGAGGCTGGGCTAGGAGGCGCCCGGCAAGCGCACCACGCTGCAGAGGTTGCTAATATTGGGACCTGCAGCAGCAGCAGCAGCAGCAGCGGGAGACCGCGGCAGTGCTGTCACCCCGGGGGCCCGCTTCTCACTGCAACCGGATGAAAGACTTAAATAACCCTCCTTCCCCGCCCCCACTGCGCACAACCGCCCACTCAGCTCCATCCAAAGGAGGGTGAGTGGCACAGCCGAGCGCCTGGAGCGCCCTTCCCCCGCGGCAGACACCCGGCCGACCTGCTATACTCGCACCCAGGGTCCCCAACCTGGGTCAGGGCTTCCTTCCGTTCCCCTCTTGCCAACTCTCTCTCTCTCTCTCTCTCTCTCTCTCTCTCTCTCTCTCTCTCCTCTCTTTCTGTGCAGAATCCGAGAGTTGAGATGTCACTTCCTTGGCGACACCTTTCTCCAACCTCTAGGAGCGAGGCGGGGTGAGATGTAGCTTTTTGTTTGATGGTCTCGGTTCTGCCGCTGTACCTGCAAGTCCTTGTCCGCTGACCCCTGAACGCGCCTGCCCCAGTTCTCCCACCCGTGTACTACCCGCCTCCTGGCACACACAGTCTATATCTGATGGCTCGACTGCGTGTGTTAAACGTCTCAACCTAAAGGTTACTGCATATTTAAAAAAAAAAAAAAAAAAGGCTCGGGGGTGGGGGTACGTGGAGGGACCCCGAATACAAGGGCCATCTCATGATCTCTCTATGCTTGGGCCCAATTGTGCAGCACTCGGGAGATGGGACCGGGAAATTCACACAATGAAGGTGGCCCTGGCCCCGCCGCGGCGTCCCTACAGCCCTGCGCCCTCGCCACGCTACGGGTGCACAAGCCTCCGAAGCCAGGGCGGCCGGGGAGCAGGAAAGCTGCCGCGGCCCCTAGTCCCTTCCCCTGGACAAGCGGTTAACAATAGCACGCAGCCCCCGGCGCCTCTGCGGCCTTTGGTCCCCCACCCCCACCCCTGTCCCTGAGGCTCTGGCCTCGCGGAGCCCGGGGCCCCATCCCAACTCCCCAGCCCCGCGGAGCCCAGGGACTCTCCCAAACCCGCTCTGCGCCCTCCAGAAAACGGGGGGAGGGACCCCGAATGAGACCGCGAAGCTCAGTTCCGACCTCCAGCCTGTCCTCAGTCCCCGCCACCTAGACTCCTGCAGCGACGCGCGTCTCCAGCCATTTCCACACCTCTCACACCACCACCTCGCTCCCTCCGGCGACTGCTGTCAACGCCGCCAGACCATCACTCACACACAAAGAGAAAACCAAGGGACTCAACGCGGGCAAAAGGGAAAAAGTCGGATGCCCTAAAGGCGCCCAGAGTGTGTGGACCCCTGCCCTCCCTCCCCGAGTCCGCGCTGCACCGAGGGGCGCACAGGAGCAGGGTGGAAAAGGGATCCAGAACCCGAGCGCGCTTAGGACCGCTCGGACCTGGCCGGGCGGCCGCGGAGAGCGCAGCGGGGCCGGGGGCAGAGCCCGCACCTGCCGGCCTGGAGCGCGGGAGGGAAAGGATCCCTCTGCCCGGTGCACCAGGCCCGCCGCCCAGCGCCAGGACCCTCAGTCTCTTCCACCTCCGGCCTCCTACAGCCGGCCTCGCTCTGAAAGCTAGGCACTGTAGCAACCCTTAAGGCGGCCAGCTAGACCAGCACTTTAGTAAAGTTTACTCTTCCCTCCGCATCAACCCGCAGCGAAGGTTACTTCTGGGGTGATGGGAAGATAGTTAGGTTCCAAGGGAGTAATTGCATGCGATATGCTACAACTTATAATTTTAAGTAGCGAGGTGACGGGAAACGGTCAGGAAAACTGGCTAGGTTCAGCTTTGAGCCCAGCCTCAGTAGCGACCCAAGGGGGAAACCCTGGGCCTCGGGAATCTGCACTATCCCCATCCAGGCCTAACTCTCCACACCTTCGGGCATCATCCACAGTCCTCAAAGCTAAACATATAGTTTAGACTGTATCCAACATCTGGCATTAAAGCATGAAGAAGAAAAATCACCACAGGACTTGGTTTTACGACCTAGTTTAAGTGTTCTCAGGTGGGTTCACTCAAAAGTTAACTCCTTCCAACAGTCGGTACCCAAACTGTCCCTGATTTTTTTTTTTTTCAAGTAAAAGGGAAACCTGGGTTCTACGAACTCTGCCCCCACCCCACCCCAGGCTGGAGGACTGTGTTCCCTGACTTGACGCTGCAGGGCAGAAGGTGCTCCGCCAGGCACGTGTGTGCAGGCATGAAAGTGGGCAGAGTCCCCACCTGAGACTGCAGCCTTCGGTGCTGAGTCACAAGCACCCTAATCAGAACAAGAAATCCTCGGAATGCCCTTTAAAATGCGCCTGCAGCTTTTGCACGAGGACGCACACACTCACACCAGAAAGGCACTGAGGAAACCCAGACAAGGCTGTACGCTATGGAAATTAAAAAGCAGAGGTTGGAAGTCGATGGCTGGAAGATCGAGCCCCCCTAGTGAGCGTCCGGCCCCTTCTCAGGTCATTTTCCCCGGGCGCCTCGGCCCCTGCTGCTCAGGGTCTAAAATATGACTTCAGTCCTCACCACAGAACAATCAGTCAGCAATCTTCGCCTGAGAGGCTTTCAGACCAGCATGGGGAAATAAACAATACGCTTAATTTACAATTCAGGTAGAATACTTATTAGAGAAAAAGGGGAAAACTTAATCTGAGCACGAAATACCTACTACCTATAGGAAACTGCGTTTTTAAGTTCTTAGTGATTAAAGCTTTAAACTCGTGGAATCGGTCCATTCAAAAGAAACTTCTTAAGTCCGATCTTCCTGTGTATCTGATGCAAAAGAGAACCAGGGATTTAGATTATTTTCATAAACCATGCCCCCCTTTAAGGGGGGCTTTCAATGTAGAGTGGCAACAGTGGCAGCCGCAGATCTGCAATTCCGGAGGCTTTTTCTCTCCCTGGGCTGGCGTGACAGAGAAGGGAGAGAGAGAGAGAGAGAGAGAGAGAGAGAGAGAGAGAGAGATTCTAGTATCCCCGCCTAGCCTTCGCCTTCTTGGTAGTTAGAGTCTGAACATGTCACCGCATGGACACTAAATGGTTAAAAAGCATACCTACCGAATCGGCTGTGGTCTTTCCTGGTCCCCTGAATGGTACCATTAGGGAAGATTTCTAAGTGAAATCCAGTCCTGCAGTACAGCTGCCTCCGCCTGAGAATCCCCTTCAAATGATCCAAGTCCGTGACTGCGGGTCCCCGGGGCAGCCCCCCTGCTTCAGACTGACCCAGGTGGTCACTTAGCAACACCGGGCTGTCCACCGGCAACACCGGCACGTTCCCGAACGGTACCGCGTCCTGCACACCGAAATAGCTCCCAACTTCACCTAACGGAGCCATCAGAGGACTCGGCTTTTGGAGCACAAGAATAAACAATAATGATGGTATCTACCAGGAGATATTAGGCGAGGTATATCCAACTCCCCTCCCTTGCTGCAGTTGCAGAGAGAGAGAGGGGAAAAGAGGTTCTTTTCTTCAATCCATCCAATGCATAAATAAAAGTAATCTGCTGTTTCACTGGCACAGGTTCAAGGTCAAACCACTGATGGTCTAAGAAGCCTCCACTTTATACTCACACACTGACACTGATCAACACATCTAGGCATCTCTACAGATGGAGCCCCAGCTCTCAGCAGGCAGGAAGGTCTTCATCCCATCCGACCGTAATAAGGGAAAAAAATCCGTAGTTTCTCCATTTGCTTTGAGATCAGAATGACCATAGCAACGTAAGTGCTTGGGCGATATTACAGGGATTTTTAAGATGCTCAGGCTACGTCAGAATTTACGGATCCTGACTCCAGGAAGGCATGCGCTGTTTTTACTCTCTAACCGACTCTGCAGACATCAGCATGAATCCTTCAAGGAGAAAAAAAAAATCTCACGTTGGCGGCGGCGACAGACCCTCTCTTCCAATCCCCCCCCTCCAAAAATTAATAATAATAAAACAAAAAGAAAAAACTTTCGGTGTCCAAAGGTAGTATCCGGCACGCTGCGGAGGCTCTGCAGAGGTCCAGCGGCTTGCAAGCAGGCGAGCGGCGAGCGGCTGAGGACCGCGTCCCGGAGCTCGCGTGCTGCCGGGGCTGCCGCGAACAGGTGTCGCCGCGCCGGCCGCGCAGCGCCGTGGCCGCGGAGCGCTCCTCCTGCGCAGCCCCCGCCGGCGCGCAGAGTGGCGCAGGCGGCGGCATTGGGCCGGGTTTAAGGTAGGGCCGCGGCTGCCCCGCTCCGCCCGGTCCTAGCGCCCGCCCTGCAGCCCGAGCCACTCTGCGGCAGGCCGGGCAAAGCCCGGCAGAGCACGGGACTGCCCGGGTAAGACGACCGAAGAAGCCGAGCTTGAGAGAGACCAGCGCACCAAAGATGCAGTGCCAGAGCTGGAGGACATACCCCCAGACTCTTGGTCACCTAGAAGCTAGCTCACTACCCGAGATGCAGGCTCAGAGTGAAACTGGGAAGTAGTTTTCACGTGGACTCTGTAACCTTGGGTTATAAAATAGAGAATTGAAGGGAAAGGTTGGTTTAATGAGTTTGGACGAACAGGGTAGTTTCTCTTTCAATCTTCTGACAAGCTCAAAGAAGCGCAAACTGTATTATTGCAGGTAAGGCAGTTGAATGAGTCAGATAGTTCTCTCCTCTCTTCTCTTCTCTTCTCTTTTCTTTCTCTCTCTCTCTCTCTCTCTCTCTCTCTCTCTCTCTCTCTCTCTCTCTTCTCTCTCTCTCTCTCCTCTCTCTCTCTCCCCC